TAAAATAGAGGTGGGAAAAAATGTAAGCACTCAGTTAAAAACTGCTGCAGAGGGATTTACTGCTCGAAGTACTTAATGAAAAGAATAAGTAATGTTAAAAGTTAAGAATAAAATCCATAAAAACCCATGCTCAGTGCCTAGATCAATCCTCCAACGAAAGGATTAAGTTCAAGACTTGGTTTTCTCTACCCAGTATCTGGAACAAACATCACTCCACACATACAAAAGCTGAGTGTAGACTTTTCTTTATAGCTTATAAGGAATATAAACTTCATATATTGGTTTAGGCTGGCTGACAGGACTGACTACAGAACCTGTCCATAGAGAAGGTGGATCAGGTGAAGAACTAAAATTAAGTCAAGAAATGCAGAGCAAGATTTCATCCTTAAGGTAATTGCACTAGAAAGAAAATTAAATAGAAGAATTGAAATGTTAAAAGCTGAAATGTCATCTTTACTTCCTATCTGACTGGATTTTCTATTTAATGTATCTAGAAGTAGAAGCAAGCCTTTTTAAAGCAGAAATGAGTATCAGCTTCATTTCAGTCTCTTTCTATCTTGCCTTCATTTGCTGATGTCTTAATGCCTTCTCCCTCAGTATCAGCAAGATAAGATTCCCTTCTTCTATGCTGCTTATAGCTTCTAAGTGATGGGAGGAAAGCAGGCGCTAGCATGTCACTCACAATGTGTATTACTTTTGAAGGAAAAAGTTGTCCTTTCCTGTGACTTGTAGAAATCCTTTTTGGCAAGGTACAGTAGAAACTACATTTTCATCTGATATTGTTTATATTTTGTCTTTGTTATATATGTGGAAGGAGTGTACCAGTCACTGCTTGGAAAATTGTGGACAGAAGATAAACATGACTGCCTTGCAAGCTTAATCTACTTAATTTCTAGGATAGTTTTTCTAGTTGCTTTTTTTAGACATTATATATGGTTTCCCTTTTCTAGGAATGAACTGCAACACTTGCAGATGAAAGTACTTCAGGAACGTGAAAAGTATCAGCAGTCTTCTCAATCCAGTACTGCTATTTCATCAGTACCTGCATTTAATGTGAATGATAAGTTTACATTGACTAAGGATGATGCTAGTTACAGCCTCATCTTGGAGGTGCAGACAGCTATAGATTATGTCCTGGTGCAGGTGAGTGTGGAGACTTCCTAGTTCAAAAATCCAAGTTATAGTATCAGAAGTATATGGATTTTTAAATGTCTGAATTGTTATAAGAGAGAAATAAAGTGTAGAGCCTTGCAGTGGTGAAGTACCTGTTGTAAATGCTTGTTATGGAACAAACACAATTTAAACTTTTCTTGAACACAGCAAGGTTGCCCTACCAAAGTAGACTAAAATGGCTGCTGTACTAGCAGGTTTCTGTGTAATATGTTGTTTTGCATGTCCCTCCTTATTTAAATAGCAACTAACTCGCTCATCTTAATGAGGTACAGATTCTCACTCCTCAGTTAAGTACCCTCTGTTGTGGAAAATTAATTTCAGAATGGTATGGGCCACCTGTGCACTTTCAGTGTGGAACAGCATCTGATTTGTGTGCAGTTGATGATAAATACTCCTGCCAAGTAGAGCAGCCTTAATTAATAATTTCTCTTACTTCATCAGCTGAAATTAATGGTATCTTTGGTAGTCAGAAGGAGTAATGGTACTGAATTACCTTCTCTGGTGATATGCATTGGGAGAAAAAATAGACGAGGAATTTGCCATAACAAATGGGAGACAACTACTGTAAGATTTTATTTTTCAATTCTTAATCAAAATCTATTTTCATTAAGGGTGTTATTAGAGCAATGCTCAGCTACAGCTCTATAGTATCTTCTGTTTCCATACCTAAGTGAGGAATAATGAAATTGTTTAGTCTTGCCCTGAATTTAATGTAGAATTTAGAACTTATGGCCTTTTATTTAAAGAAATATAAACCAGTATCTGATATTCTTTTGCTGTGAAAAGACAATAGAACTGTTTTTTTTTAATTTTTTTTAGGAAGTATGTTACATATTTATCAGCATTTCCTGGTACTTCTGTGAAGATATAAAGCATTACCAAATCAAGCAATGAATCATCCTAATACCTTTTAATCTCATTTTTAAAACAGTATTAGATTTAATTTTAATTCCAGTGAAAACACATCTAGGTAAGAAATGGTCTGTGTCAGAAAGGTCACTGTAAGTGAAAGGATCTTTAATCATTATGTATTATGATCCTTGGTTTCTTGAATATTGTAATCCCCCTATTGAAATAGGGAAACACTTCAATCATGAATATACATCATGCATATGGATTAAGTATATTTTCATGTCTGAAAGATAGTTATACATCTTATACTGAAGTTGTTTAAGTCAGCCACACAAGAGTTTGGGACTCCATAAGAGAGTAAGAGAAAGATCATCATCTTATGCCGGGATTAAGTAGTATGTTGTTAGACTTTTACCTCATGGATGAAGCAATCATTTCCTCTCCCTTATTAAAACAATTGATGACAGTTGGAAGATAAATGCATTAGAAGCTACTCAGGAACTTAAGCTCTTTATTTTTCTTATGTTCTGCAGAGTGATGTCCCAGTAGACTTGCTGGATGTGGATAAAAATTCTGCTGTTGTTAGTTTTAGCAGCTGTGATTCTGAGGTAAGTGAAACAAAAGAGATGATATTTATAGAGATTGCATGATGAAAACTCTTAATAATGTATAGTAAAAATACGATTTGGGTTTATATATTTGTCATTTTAAATACATGCAGTTAAACTTCCTATTTGGTAATTTTGGAGAGCTCAGCTTCATCAGAGGTACTGCAGAATTAGGAGTTAGTAGCAAGTTCTGACATAAGGCAAATCTTATGTCTGCAAAAGGATCCAGGAGAGGAGGCAACTGCTCTCTTGGGTTTTTTTCCTGTCTGATCAGGGATATGAAAGACACATTCAGTTTTGGTCTCTTCTCTGAATTTGCCACTATCACTATCTATATACTTCAAAGTAATTTAGGTGAAGGACATTATATTTTTACTTAGTTCGTCTCTTAAAAATCACTTAAGAATGTGAAAATTCTGCTGCATAGGGAGTCATATGTTTAAGTTCATTTTTTTATGTAATAATTATAAACTTATACGTGCAGAATTACTAATGATGTTTAGGGCCAGGGAGAAGATGCAGAAACTGTCTTAGCATTATCAAAATCTTCTGTGAAGTCTTTTTCCTTATAACAGTCCTCTGGGTGTTCTAGTTTTAAGAACTAAGTTTGCACATCATTGGTCTACCCTGAAGCTTTCAGAAATCAACTTTAAGTTTCTTGTCATTTATGATGATTAATTTGGCTTTTCTGGGTGCGTTTTCTTACCCATCTTGCTTCAGCTTGTGGATGTTGGACTAATACTACAGATGAGTGGGGCAGGCTGACATGCATTCTTCAGATGAAAAGTAGATATCTGTGTAATTTTAATGGTAGTATTAAGAGACTTCAGTTGATTTCTCTTTATACAAAGATTTTTTTTTTAATTCTACTGTAATTAAAATTAATGGGAATAATCAAGAGAACCAAAGATTACTTTTTTGTATTTAACTTTTGTAAAATAGCTGTACAAAAACGGCAAAAACTTTACTGTACATGTAAAACAGACCAGTTAAAACAGGCCAGTAGAACTTTTGTGAATCCACGGACTGTTTTGTGTTATTTTTCTGGTTTTCTGTTCTTTACAGCCAAATAGCAACTTTCTTCTTGCAACTTACCGATGCCAAGCAAATACTACAAGACTTGAACTTAAGGTAAAATGCTCCAAAATATTTTTTACAATAAATTCATGGTTGTGTAGATGTCTGCTTTGGAATGGAGGGATCTCCACCTGGACTGACTGCCTAGCCGGGGCAAATGATCAGTCCAGTTTCTAGGGCTGGCTGTTTCCTGAGCACCTTCTAGTCTGGGGCTTGTGTTCCTTTATATTTGTGTGTTAGGGTTTCTAAAAGCTTCTAAAAAATGTGTTCCTTCAGAGGGGAGCCTGGGGTCCTTCATAAATGTCCTTATGATGAAAGGAGTGGGGAAATCACAGATTGTGAAAATAATTCCACACACCATTGCCAGAATCAAGTAAAATGGAGAGAGGCGTGGGAAAGAAAGCTCTGGCACTGTTTGGCCTCAGAAGCATTAGAAGGAAGTTACACTGGGAAGTAACAAGGGAATATAGACTGGATATTTATTTTGGAGAGGAAGTGAATCCAGTCATTCCATGCTTACTATACTAAAGGCATGGGGGTGTTTTATTTTTAAAGAATCACCAAATTCCCATGTTTTGTGACTACCACCTGGAGAAATAATGAAGGAAATCACAATTAGGAAAATCCTCAACATGCCCACAGCTCAGGCTCTGGGTTTTCTCTTTATTTAGTTGCCTAACACTGAAGCCTCCTAATCTGCGTTTACTTATCTAAAACTCTCAGTCAGAATATTGTCATTAGAAATTTAAGCCTTCATGAGTTGCATCAAGGGTGGGGAAGTTGGGGGTGGTTATCTGTTTGTTGGTGAGGTTGCAATAATGGACCTAGTGTACAGAATTAAGAGTCTTATTTCCCAGGTCCCTTTCTTAAGAAATACTGTTAGTGGGTTTATTGGTTCTGAGGAGGTCACTTGATCTTCCTGTGTCTCAGTTCTCATATTTTAATTTAGGAATATGACCTTGGCCACCTTTAATAGGTACCTTTTACTAGGTAAAGAGTAAATAACACAGGAAAAATGAATCAAATGCATTCATGATAAAAAGAGGGTATTTTTTACTCTCCCACTAAAAACATTTATAAGCTTGCTGTTGTGTGTCATCATAGTGCCAAGTGTCATCAGACCCTGTGGATTTGGATCCTGATGTGATGGATTTGATCTGTACAGGTTCTACTGCCACCTCACCACAATGTATTCGGGATCTCCACTGATTTACACTTGTCACGTGGAGTTCATTCTCTTTTTGTACTTCGCCTATGCAGATGCAAGATAATACAACTTTTAAGTCTTGGTGCTTTTATTTCCAAAAATAACTCTTTACTAACTTATTTGTATTCAAAACATTTAAGCAGATGTCTTCCTGCCAAATGCTGCTTTTTGAGTTCCAGGACCCTATAAAATAGGGGATATGATCAAGATTATAAAGCAAACCTTTACTTGAACTCCAGTCTCCTCTTTTGTTTGTATAAAGCTGTTTCAGTAGCTCTCCTGCCCTACTTTTACAGTGGTGTTGATGCTACAGGTGGGACACTCCTATTTCTGTCAGTTCTGCTTGAGGGGCAGACTTCTTAGTGCAATCTGTGTAGCTGAGAAGTGACTGATGCATTGGTATGTTCTGCAAGGTATGGAGAGGGTGTCCTGTGTCTTGAATGTGTTTATACACCCTGCTTGTTGGGTATTCCAAGACTCAAACTTAAACTTGGCCACTTACTCTTCCAAAAATAGCTCAGGAAGAACTTTGATTGTTATGAAGAGATGAACTCATATTTTGAAATTAACTTTTCTCTCTTGAATTTCTTAATGTATCCTTTGCTGCCAGCTGCTACAGAATGTATCTTTTCCTTAACTAAAAAAAATATTAAAAAAAATGGTGCCACTGCAGAATTAGAAGCAAGTCAGCAGACTTTTTAATTTAACTGATCAAGAAGCAAGTTAGAGGGTTTTATTTTCTTAACAGCTCATTTATCTAAATAACAGCACTTCACTGGGTGCTACTTCGTATGGTTTTAAAGCATTCTTGTAATGCTTTATTTATAGTGGCACTATCAAGTAAATAGAGTACTATAAATATTTCTGAATTACATCAGTATTTTTTTAACACATTTTGAACATCCACTGATTTTCCAAATCATGGTAAATTAATAATTTCCCTTTTGTTCCTTTTGGTGGGTTCTGCTTTTATTTCTGCAGGTTCGGTCTATTGAAGGTCAGTATGGGACACTTCAAGCATATATAACTCCAAAAATTCAACCAAAAACTTGCCAAGTTCATCAATATCAAATTAAACCACTTTCACTTCATCAAAGAACTCATTCTATTGACCATGACAGGTATTTGCAAAGAAAAATCAATGCCACCTTCTCTTGAAAAACTGACAAAATCCAATTGAAACAATGTTTTACTCTATAAACTTGAGTGCATCATTTCTAACCTCTAACTTACAATTTTGAGCCTGTTGTTCCATTTTGTGGGTTTTCTGACACAAAATGTGGGTTTAATGGGTTCCTTGTCAACTTTTACCCTTGTTTACAGGGTTTGGTGGGAGGGGTTTTGGTTGGCTTTTTGTTTTGTTTTTCACTTTATTGACCTGGGTTATAGTGCAGCCCCATGTGTTAGTAGAGCTGAGGGTGTGGTAGAAATGAAACTTAAGTGTTATTAACCATAGGCTTTAGTAACTATAGTTACTTTAGTAACTTTAGTATAGTAACTTTAGTAACTATAGGTTACTAACCATAGTCTTTTCAGTTTCAGCCTTATTCTCCCCTCCACCCTTTTAATACAGTTCTTTCCCATAGCTAATTTGGCTCCAAAACTGAGCCAAGATATTTTTTTTCCTTATCTCTCTGTTAAGATCCTAGTATTTTATGCAATGTCTTCTTGATTTTTTCCCCCACCTCCAGTTAACATCTTGTATTGTCACCAAAGTGTTGCTTGCTTCAGAACAGAACATGAAGATTGAAGGAATGATATAAAATGCTTTTATGTGTAAATGCTTCAGCGCGCAAATGAGCCCCATTATGCCTCATTCTTGAAATAAATGCTGTGTCTGTGGTTTATGCCATGGGAGGTTGTTGAGGCTGTTTGTCATATATACTGTATTATCAGATATTTACCTTTGTTGTAAGTTTCAGGTTGAACAACTTGAAATGAGATATGTCAGAAACTTCCAACTAGTGTCTTGGCCAGTTCTGACATGCCTGCTAGGAGACCAAATTTGAATGTACTCGTAGATTTTAGTCTTGAAATACATAAAAGTAGCTGTAATCTACAAGATGTAACTACTTAGCAAGATACCTGACATTTCCCAGGGTGTAGATTAAAAATAAACCACAATGTGAAACTAACCTTTTTTTCGTATGAGTAACTAGTGCACTAGCAGTGCCCCTCCTTCATTAACTGCTTTGTTTTTTGTTGTTAATTTCATAATGTCACAGACCTATGAATACACTGACGCTCAAAGGCCAGTTCAGTTTTGCTGAAATTCACTCATGGGTTGTGTTTTGCTTGCCTGAGGTGCCTGAAAAGACTCCCGCTGGAGAGAGCATAACCTTTTATTTTCAGAACACCTTCCTGGGTACACAGCTTGAAAGCACTTACAGGTAAAATACAATTAATTAAATGCAATGTGACTATGCTGTGGGGTTTGCTTTTTCATTCTTGACCAGTCTGCAAGTACCATTTCACACACATACCACTCTACCCTCAATCCCACCCTACTAAAGAGAATAGGAATCTTTCTTAGAAAGGCTTGTCAAACATTACCAGGGTGTGCATTATCCAGTAATGATGCACTCTGTATCTCAAATAGGGTTTTTCTTTAAGTTTGTCCAAAAAACCAAAATTGCCAGGGAAGAAAGGCTTGATATATTGTTAAGATGTTGGCTTGCTTTTAGAATTTAAAGAATAGAGCTAACTAACATAGCCCTGAAATGATTGTGTAATGCCTATTGTTTTCTAACGTCTTTTTTTTTTTTATTGAGCAGCAGAAAAAGGCATTTAATGCTCATGCAAACAAAAATGTGATGAACATTAAGCTAAAATCCTTTTTTCTGAAGCTTTAATTAGGCAAATATTATTTCTATGTTTCAGATTAATACTCAGTTCTCAACTTAGTTATATCTTCCTTCAGCAAATTATATATATCCACCTGAAAATGGAACTGTTATTACAACACCCGTTGTAATTATTTAGATTCCAGCCTACTCCCTACCTACCATACATGTTGCCTACTCATAATGTAAAAAGCTGCTGGGTGGTGGTTTGCTAGGGAGAAGGGGAAGTTTTAATACCCTTCTGGGACTGAAGCTTTCCTGCTTGGCTTCAAGGTATGGCAATGATAAAACTTAGGAGGAATATATACAGTCAGAAATCTTACTTGTGTAACCTTAGTGCCATACAGTAAAAATAACTGCTTTTTGTATACCTGAGATCTGTGTATACTGCTTTGTTTTATTTATGGAACAAAGTGTTCTCTGTGAAGATTACCCTGGGAAGGACGGAATAGCATAGATGTGTATACATACGTGATACATGGAGAATCATTACAACCTTTATAGAGGTTGCCTACTTTGATAGGGACATTCACTTACAGGCCTCCTATTTTAACGCAGGGACAAATCTACTGCACCCATGTGTGTTTAAGTTTGTTCATTTAAATTTTTTCTTCCTTTATAGAAAAGGTGAGGGATGTTTTAAGTCTGACAATATTTCTACAATATCCATCCTAAAAGATGTGCTTTCCAAGGAGGCTACAAAAAGGAAGATTAATCTCAACATAGCATATGGTAAAACTTTCCTATTTTGTTGTCCTTGACTTCAATTTTATATTCTTATACATGGAATATTATATATTTATTTGCTTGTTGGGTTTTTTTCACTCCCTGCCAGACATAAATGAAGAATCTGTGAGGCACACATTAAAGCTTATCCACCCAAAATTAGAGTATCAGCAACTGTTGGCCAAGAAGGTTCACTTAATAGATGCTTTGAGAGTAAGTATCTGAACTCCTGCAGGAAGGATTTTTTAGGGGGAATTATGCTGTCAGATACCAAGCTGTACAGCTCAAGTCAGATGTGTGTCATTCTGGTTTCCATTCAGTTTCTGTTCCCAGGATATGTATTTTAATTATCTAGGAGACAGACTTCTTCAAGGAAAATTCCCATTTATACTATGCAACTAGTGAATAACGTGTAGGATTACTGACTGATGTTGAAGATGCTTAAACTGGACAGTAGAAGGCAGACAGCTTTACCACCTAACATTCTCCTTTTACCTGCTGTTATTTTCCAGTTCCTTTGTTTCTTTCCACTAACCTTTGAAGGTCTTTTTAGATCTGGGAATGAACATCCAGGCCAGATGCAGCTCCCTCTCTTTGGAACTTTATCCCAGTGTGTCGTAATTTATGAATTATCTGCTTTTAAATCTTTTGCTTAATACCTCCTCCTCAACAGTTTGTCTTTGGAAGGTACCAGTTAGGTAGCTTGTCTCTTGGCCTTTTTCCAACAACTGGAAATTCAGCAAACAGGATTTTACTGTCAAAGACTTGCTATCATCTCTGTTGGTATTTTTTTGTGGTTTTTGAGGGAGAGCGGAGATGAAAACAGGCAACCGATTCTCTCTGGTCCTTTGGGGGAATCAAATACTAGTTGCCAGAACTCTTCAGTTAGTAGAAAAACTGACTACCAGTGAGAATAGTGTGTACCTTTATTATCACTAAGAGTATTTTACCTTAATAGGGTTTAGATGTGACAAACCAGGGGGTGAGAATAATAGAGAATTTATTGTTAATGCACATTATGTTTGTGCAGTGATAATGATGATGCACATCTTGCTTGTTTTAAGCTTTTTTTTCTCTTAGCAGATCTTCAATAACTCTTTCTTGGTTTTTTTTTATGTGTTGGGTTTTTTTTTAGTCTTGTTGCTTTTTTTTTTTGATAATAACTTATTGATAGGCAGTAAAATAATCTGATGATTGATGAAAGCTATTATCCTAGCAGACTCATGATGCACAGCATAATTACCTTTTGTCTGGAAAAGAACAGTCTTTCTGTGGAGAATAAAAAGATCTGTACTATTGATCATCTTAGATTGGTCTGATGGTAAACTGGGGCATTTAGAAGAGGTCTTTAAAACTTTTTGCTGTCACAATTTGAGTGATGCTTTCAGAGTTTACTTTTACTCTCAGACTTCAGCATGTGCTACACCTTTTAGGCATTTACTTACTCTAGAAATGAAGACATGATGAAGGCTTTGAGCCTCCACTAGGCTTGATCCTGTAGGTGCTGGGTGGTGGTGGGATCCTGTTCTGGCAGTACTTGTAGCTGGAGGCTGTAATACACAGGATTTTGAGAATCCAGTCTAGGAAGTGACAGGTGACATCTGGCATTTCATTATAAGACTAGAAAATTAAGCACTTCGAAAGTAACTCCTGCTAGTTTGGAAGGCGATTGTCTTTGTCTCTGAAGTACTTCCTCCTGTCAGACTCCTGTCTTCATACTTTTATGCTTTCATGATAATTAAATGCTGATAATTTTTAATGATTTATAATGTCTTTGAGGAATTACAAGTTCATGAAGGAAATGTGGACTTCCTGCTACCAAAATACCGCAGCATTTTGGAAGAGGCAGATGAGCTGCTCGAGGAATACAAGAGACAACCTGCACATCTTGAGAGACTTTATGGTTTGTTGATCAATTCAACTTTTTATTTAAATGTAACTTGATGTCCAGAGAGCACACTCGATGTGACTGTAATTGTTACGAAGTAAGAATTAGTAGAGTTGAAATAATTTGATAAGTGTGTACACTTGGTTAGGTTCAGGACTGTCTGGTCATACAGGCAAGACTGCATATTTACATCCTGGTTTTGATCATAAAAATCTAAAGTTAAACGTAAGGTAGTAAAAAAGCCTAGCAAATACTGGAAATAGCTTGTATGCTACTACAAACTTCGAGTAACTCTCTAAAGGTACTCAAGAATTGTTCACCCAAGAATTTTTGGGCATCACAAGCATATTACTGAGAATGAAGATACCAGGTTTATTTGCAAGTGGCTTTTCTTAACAGACAGCTTATTTTATTCTTGTCATGTATCTTATGTTCCATGTCTTTATGGACATAATTAAGGATCATATTCAAATTCACAATGGCATTTAAGAATGTGTATGAGCTAAATGACTGGTTAAATTTTGCAAAACATCATAAAACCAGAAAATTAAACATGGGGTGGGAAGGGAGACTTGTGGAAAATGATCCAAGTTAGTGAAGGAAATTCTGTAACCTTCTCTGGTGTTCCCCAGTCACCTCTCAGCTCAGAGATTCTCTGCCAGATGCCAGGTGTAATAAGCCTAAGTATATACAGCATAAGCAGAGTCCCCTTTACCCATCCCATGATAGTTCCTCACTCTTTTATGTTTCAGATGTGGGTAATTCTAAGTCAGAAATACATGCTTTGGAATGAAGCTGGAATCTGTGATGTCATAACTGTTTTGGGTCTATTTATAAGTAAATCATGGTTTAAAACATGAGGTTTGAAAAGAATCTCATCTCTAAGCCCAAATTAAATTAGAATAGTTGGTACATAATAGTGACTTAGAGATACGTCAGCTAGAGAAAACAAGGCAAATAATACTCCTCGAATTTTACATTTGCAGGTATGATCACGGATCTCTTCATAGATAAATTTAAATTTAAAGGCACCAATGTGAAAAGCAAAGTTCCTCTTCTCCTCGAAACTCTGGATGGCTGTGACCAAGAAGGACTAATTGCTTTCTTTGACGCTGCAGCCTGATAAGGGAAAAGCTGGGTAATTTTTCTTTTTTTTTTTTTTATTTTACTCAAGGCAGTTCAGTATTCAGTCCAAAAGCACTTTTTAAGAAAAACACTATGTTGTACTTCAGCTTCATTTGTATTTATTATCCTACTGAATGCAGTAGTCACCTTTAGTTTATATCAACTGTTAAGTGCACGCAGAGTATCTACACCCACGATGTTCCTGAGAGCTAAAGAAAACCTAGAATCAGGTATAAATACCCCGTTTCCTTCTTGCAAAAACTTTTTCCACCTGTAAGAACATCTGGAGAAACTGTTTTTCACAGACCTAACTAAAGGTAGAAGAAATCTGTGTGTTAACCTGTACCTAACTATGGTATTTGCCTGCTGCGGGTATTTGTGTTGTCACACCTAATGTCACTGGGGTGCATGAAGAAGGGAGAAACTGTATTTTAGGGTCAAGACAGCTGCTATTGGAGCTGCACGTTCACTCCTGGTTGGAGCGTGGCTCGCATTAAACTTTCTCCGTGCTTCTCCCGTGTCTTCGTTCTTCATTTCAAACCCCCGCCTTGCTTGTCGCTCGGTGTCCCTCACGGCTGGGAGCGCTGAGCCGGCTGTGCGCACCGAGCGCGGCTCACCCGCCGTCCCCGACGCAGCGCCGCCATCACTGCGGACGACGCGCGCTCCCGCCGGCCCGTCCCTGCGCCGCCCGCCAGGCCCCGCCCCTTCGCCTCAGGCGCTGCCCGCCGCTCGCCCCGCCCGGATTGGCTCCTGCCGCTGCCCGTAGGCCGCGTGACGCCGTGCGTCGCCGCTCCCTCTGATTGGCTGATTCAATAGTCGCGGGCTACTTGAACGGCGAGAGCGGCGCTCCAGCGCGAGTCTCGGCGGCCGCTTTGGTTTTTCCTGGCCGCCCTCTTCCTCCGGCGGCCCCTCCCGCGGCCATGTTGGCGGAGCAGGAGAACCAGGAGAACGTTCCTCCAGGCGCCAAAGCGCCGCCGCCAGCCGCCGGCGGCACCCGCGTGGTGCTGGGGCTGCTGAGGAGCGCCCAGCAGCGGCCCGGGCTCCTGCCGCAGGTGAGTGGGGCAGCGGGTGTGGGCGAGCGCGGTAAGGGGTGAGATGGGCTGGGGCGGCGGAGGGTGTCAGTGCCGGACCGGGCCCTCCACGGCGCTGATGGGCCGCTCTCCACACAGGCGGGGCGGCGCGGCTGCGAGAGCCATGGCGCGGCGGCGGGGCGGCCGGGCGGTGGGCAGCAGCCCTTCGCCATCCATGTGGACGAGCCGGATGGGGAGCAGCAGCAGCGGCGACGGGGTAGCCCGGCGACCCGAAAAGAGGAGGCCTCGCTGGGTCTTCGTGCGGCTGTCTGCGCCCTCGGGGAGCGGCGGCCTCTGGCACCCCTGGGCAACGCCATGGAGCTGAGCTTCGGTATGTGCCAACAATTCCCTCCCCCCCCCCCCCATCCCGAGGCTCCGGCAGCCCTGTTGCAGCGCCCGGGTCCGCAGGGCCTTTTCCCGGGCAGCTCGGGGGCGAGCGTTTCCTACCCAGGTGTGATCTCGGGAGGCGTTTCCAGAGCAAACTGGAGGCTGTAGGGGACAGACACTGGTTTGGTTCGACCCAAAAGATCCCTTTCCGGTTGCTGAAACCAGTTTTGTTTCTTTGGACATGCTGTTACAATACAGCAATTTTTCAATCAAAAGGGTAGTTCCCTCTGCTGTGAGAGAGTGGTCTTATGGGCCCCCTTTTAATATGGCTTTTATCTTCTGCTTAGATTCTCCAAGTATTATGGATATTTCAATAACCTCAGAAGCAGAAGAGAAAAAAACAAATGTTAATAACATGCCAGACTATATCAGCGATATCCATGCATACCTTAGGGAAATGGAGGTGAGCTGCTCTCTATTTATTTGTGTACAGGTTATGGGGGAGAGATTCGAGGCTGAGAAATGGATGTAAACATTAGTCACTACTATAGTGACTAAACTAGAACTTGCTAGAAATGGAGGAATAAGTTGCTGTGTCCACTTGTATGAATATGAGATTTGTTTCTTGCGATCAAGTTGATTGATTGTGCCATGAACTGAAGTTGGAAAGCCAGATTATGGAAATGTAATGTACTGAGCCTAATCTTGTCCTTGTTTACTTCTGGTCTGCTTAAATTGTGGTAAATAGTTGCTCCCCTACCAGCACATAGTCCAAACTCAATCTTACCTGTCTTCTAAACCTACAGGTGAAGTGCAAGCCTAAAATGGGTTACATGAAGAAGCAACCTGATATTACAAACAACATGCGGGCCATTCTTGTGGACTGGCTGGTGGAAGTTGGAGAAGAATACAAATTGCAGAATGAAACCCTGCACTTAGCTGTAAATTACATTGATAGGTTTCTTTCTTCCATGTCTGTTTTGAGAGGAAAACTTCAGCTTGTGGGTACTGCGGCTATGCTGCTTGCATCGTAAGTGAGATTGCTGAATTTAAAATTCTACCTACTGGCCTTGTACAGATGGAATCCTTTGGCTATGGCATGTCTGGCTACAGGCATCAGAAATACTATAGCCACGGGAGGGCTTCACACTAGAAGACAAATTGGGAGTTGTCCACCTAAAAGTTTGGTAGTTTATATGAAACTTTGCAAGCAAGGTTCTAGGGTGTCTTTGTAGACGGCCCTCAGGTGAGGATTCATAATTTCTAGGTGCAGCAGCAGGCTTCTGAACAGTTACTTATGCATGCTTTGCATGCACAAGGCATGTGAAAGAAAGTTTTGCTTACACCAAATGTTAGTTTCATGGGTTGTTCTGGAATTTCTGTAACTGAGTGCCAGATACCCTGATATGTTAGCACTAAGCAATTGTAGCTCTGTAATTCTGCTGATTCAAGAGCTACAGAATCAAGTGCAGCAAACTCGTTCAGTAATAGTGGCCAGCTACTTCACAGGTCAGAATTCAAAGTAGGATGCTGGCTTTCATTATGTGTTGCTACTTATCTGGCTTTCTAGTATTTGATTATTTGCTCATAACTACTTCTCCTGGCAGGAAGTTTGAAGAAATCTACCCTCCTGAAGTAGCAGAGTTTGTCTATATCACAGATGACACCTACACCAAGAAGCAAGTTCTAAGAATGGAGCACTTAATTTTGAAGGTTTTGTCATTTGACTTGGCAGCTCCAACAATAAACCAGTTCCTCACTCAGTATTTCCTACATGAGCAGACAAATCCTAAAGTGGAGAGCCTATCAATGGTAAGTAAGAATTACTAACTTGACCTGTGTGACTACAAAGTTCACAAGCTCTGTTCTGTAGTCCCAGTAGAAAAGAAATGCTGAAGGATTCTCCAGCCCAGGCTTCTCTGCCTCCTCCTTTTAAATGTGTAGTCTCTGGGAAAGCTCTGGAGAGCTTGTACAGTTTGATACATGCTCCTCCAGCAGTGGTGCCACACCACTGGAAATTAATGCTCCTATCACCATGCACTGTTTGAAATGCTCCATTCCTTTCACAGGCTTACATTTGCCCAGCTCCAGCATGCCCACTTACATCAGAGCAGGCAGGCATTCAACTTTAATTTGGGGTTTGTTTCACTGCTAGATGTTTCTGTCTTTATCTCAAGCTGCCACACCTACTCATCCACTTTGGCAAAAAAGGACTTGTGCTTTGGTTTCCCCTTCAATAAGCAGTGAGCTTTAAATCCAGAGGCTGGTTTCTTAAGCACAGCACAGGTAACATTTTAGCTACAGTTATATTAAATCCTAATTGTGTGGCAGGTACCAGAGCTCCCAAATAGAAGCCTTTGTCTCGCTGTGTAAAGGTCAGGCCTGACTACAACCTGCCTTCTGGATTAAAAAATACCTCTACATATAAAATGTGGTATTGAAAAAATATAGGTTGGGAAAGCTTTTTGACAGTAGCCAACAGTCAATGCTAAAAGAGAAAGTAAGTGGACACTAGTAAAAGCTGTGCTCCATCTAATAGCAGGATTGGAAACTTAAATGAGGGTTCTAGTGCAACTATTTAAAGGCTCTTCTACTTCCTTTTGGAAGCAGATGATTCCCCTTACTCTCATTTCTCTTGCAGTACCTTGGGGAGCTGAGTCTAATTGATGCTGATCCTTACCTGAAATACTTGCCATCAGTTATTGCTGCTGCAGCGTTTCATCTAGCAGGCTATACTATCACTGGACAAACTTGGGTATGTAACACTGAACTCGAGCCTCCACACAACTTTATGTGTGTCTAGTGTATTCGGAGGTTCTGAAGGCTTGGGCTGCAGGAATCGCTGCCCCCCTGCACTCTTTGGCTGTTAATTATGGATTGTTATTTGTGGTAATTGAAAAATGGGAGGCACATACATCCCTTGGAAGAGACATCTACTGATGCACTCCATTCTGTCGATCATTCTCAAAGCTGTAAGCAGCTTGCTTGTGATGAGGAAGTGGGTGGTTATAAAGCTGAAGCACTGGAGGCAAGGAATACTTGTTTACAGTATGATAGTTTTCAGGATTACTATAAGTCTACA